TCATGTTGCATCTTTCCCTCAGCTGGGTTGCTTAGATGATCTCTTTTTTCTACTTTAGATATGCAACATGCAAGCAAAGCAGGACAAGATTTGTCTTGTTTCTGTAGGAAAGGAGATTGTGAGACACAAAGGTACCAGCTGTGGATGAGGATGTGTGCGAGCCTCCAGCCCCACATGTTGGGAGATAATCCTGGGAAAGTAACAGGAGATGTACCCTGGGCTAAATGTCCTCACCTCATTTGCTTCTATGTCATAGTCTTCAATTACTCTATCAAATTCAATCAACTACAGCAAGTAGATTCACAAGTTATTAGATGGAACAACCAGACAGAAAGACCCAAGGCAACAAATGCACACAGCATGTTTCCATTGGAAGCCGGGCTAAAACAAAACACCAGTGTTTGAAAAGTTACTAATGAAATTACGTCCTTAGGAATGTTTGCTGGTTTCCTGCAGGGGAAAAAAACCCAACTTTATTTCATTTTTACTGAATGACATTCATCAGAGATTGTTTCCCACTGGTAATTCAGGAGATAAACCTGTGTATTGTTCTGTGTAAAGAAAATTTTCCTTGAAATAATAAATACCTTTATCTAAAAAACCCCGTCCTCTGTTCCCCTGCTTACCCACCAAAGTAACAAACTGCCCAAATTAATGTAAGCAAAATTTACCCATAAACCCAGAATATTAACTGGGAAATTTCTGTGCTCTTGAAACTTAAAATAAGAGAAAGTGGAATTACTAGAAGTATAAAAGCCAAAGCCCCCGTTGAGGTCCATGTATTTTTTGTTTATGTCACTACAGAGTGTGCTAGACAAATGGGTAGAGTTTGTAAAATCCTTTGGGAATCCCTGAAAAATGAAGTGGGGAAAAAAAGATTAGCTCCTCACACAAGGGCATAATAAAACTGCTGAACATTTCTGTCTTAATTGTGCTTCATGATAGAGTATAGGGGAAAGTTATCACAACTGAATAAAATGCTAAACTCTCCTAGCAGCAGAATGCCTCTTTTAATGTAACAGCAGGAATAAACCTCTCACTTCTAAAATATATTGACAAAAAAGGGCTAATAACTCATAAAGGTTTTACATACAATGAAAAAGAAAAGTCAAAGCCTGTAAAGTTACTATGCATGAAATATGAACATTTAAATCAGCCGTTTAATTTGCACTTCTGATCAGAGCTAATATTCCCATTGCATACAACCATAATAAAACACACTTCCACTGACAACAGAAAATATTGGGCATTTTCATTTCTTTTATTTCAGTTTCTTACTCATAAAATATGCCTTTTACCACCTGTCAGTGCATTTATCCTCCTCAGTTGTAAGATAGCAAACCATACTTGACATGGTATCTGTTCAACATAACTGAAATCTAATCCTCCAAATGCGAGGACCACAATCCCTACTTGTACCCTTAACTCATGGGAAACAGAACCATATGCTTAGTGTAGAGTAATTACTGTGAACAATAATGAGAAAAGTTGCTGAGGGGATTTCAAAGCAGAAATACCGCAGAACAGAACAGTTAAGCGGCTGCAAATGAGTTATGATGGAGTTTAGTGCAGTGTTGAGATGTGTGGAGTTAGGAGTCTCCAGTGGAGTTGCCTACCTATTAGGGTCTGGGGAGAGCAATGGTTTGATTTAGTTCCCTAAATGCATCCCCCCTGGGATGCTGTAGGTATCCTACCTAGCCTGCAGCCACCAGACCAGAAGGGTGTGGGTCTCCTGTAGGTCCCGTCTCATATCTGCCAGCCCTGGATAGATGTCCTGGGTAATTGAGGGCACCTCAAACAGTTCTGGAAGCCTATATTTATTTGAACAGCTCTTGCATTGGCTAGGTCTGCACTGTGATGTGGTGCTGGGCATCTATGTCATGTGTAGATGCCCGTATCACTTGTCAGCCTCATTTATTTATGTGCAGTCTGGGTCCCAGTGCCACCTCTGTGGTCTGTGTAGGCAGGAAAGGCAGGAGTTGGTTAAGTTTGTGATGCTTTCTTCTGTAGGGCTGTGTCAGGGCAGGGGGGTGGATGCTGGAGTCCTCACACATATATGAAATAACCCCATATGCATCTGTATATATGTATATTTAGGTAATGCGTTCAACTCTTTACTTTGGGAGATGAAACCTTGCCTCATGAAGCCTCTCCAAGTCCCATAACCTAGGACTCACCTCACTGGCTCCTGATTCCCATTGCCAGCCCACAAGGCTTGGTCCCAGGCTGCAGCTGAGAGGTTTGAGATGGGGAGTCTGGACTTGTGGAATGCTTGTAAGAAAGGTGCTTCAGTGGCAACCAGCCCATGGCTTCTCGCAGCCATGTCTTCCATGCACAGAGCATCGTCTTGTGGCTGAAGAAGGCATCTAGAGCAGGCCCTAAGCCCTTCATAAAGAAAATGCTTTCTTCAACAGAGATGATTCATTTCAGGCCAGTTTCTATTTGAGCAAGAGCCTAAGGAGATTCCCTGGGGACCTGAAGATCTTCCTCCACAAAGAGGGGGTGATAGCAGCTCTTCAGGCAGCTGATGCAGTACTGTCATGGGATAACAAACATAATATTTTGGGGTCCCTTTGGGTCTGTTCAAAAACTCTGTATCCTGGGCTTCAGGTGCCAACAGATACAATTTTAGACCTACTTGCAGTGGATGAGAAAGCTGGATTAGGAGCCAACTCAGCTTGGAGCTATAGTAAATCCAGCCTCTGGCTGATACCTGAGCAAGCAGAGTCAATGCAAATGATCCCTTTCTGGTGAAATGCTAGGCCTATCGTTGCTTCTCCTGCGGAACATCTGTTTCAGAGGTGTTCTGGCATTTAGGCCCAGTTTTAAATTTTGCTGTCCCAAAGAGCTTGTGAGCAAGATGTGATGTGGTTTATTTGGGCTGCACGAGTATCTCAAGTCTCACCAGATGGCACTATGCTCAAAGGTTGACTCTGGCACAAGGGAGGACAAGGTGTCCAAGCAGGAGGTGTAGAGGTGTTGGTATGGAGTGTAGCTACAAAAGCAAGTTCCTAGTACTTGGCTGACAAGCTGCATCTCCTGGTGCACAACCTTAACATGCCCCAAATGAGACTCCACTCAAAAGTGGGGGAAGATGTTGAAAGTCATGTTTCTTTGCACGTGGGGTAAGCTCCAGGTGCCTTCAGCACAGCCCTTGGAGGGAGCACCATGACCCATGCATTGAACACACCAGATGGCAACCCCATTCACAAGGTGTTTTGTGTTTTCATACTGTTTCACTGGGGTAGCAATTCCAGGAGTCCTCTTTGGCTGAAATGAACAGTTAACACTCACGCAGGTTAGCATAAGAGCAGCAGTGGCTTAGTGCTGTCAGAGCAGGGCCTGCCACAGAGCTCTGCTTGCGACCATGCCCCATGGGGTTAACGGGTATAGAAAGGCTTGGACAGAGGTCTCTGCACTCGGGACAATTCTCCCCCCTCCGTTGTAGGCACTCTCTGGATATCACTTGTCCTCCACTGCAGTGACCAGCTCTCCGACACGTGGCCAGCTAGCTGCAACTGGGCTGTAGCTGCCTGGCCACAAAGCTTGTAACAGGGCTTGTAACCAGCCATGGCTGTATGGTTGGAACCAGCCATGTCTAGATGCCCTCAGAGAATTAGGAAATGAGGGGAAGACTGAGCAGGGTGGGATGGGACTGAGCAAATACTGTGCTGAGAAGCCACAGTGATGCTGAAACACCAGTGCTTGTCTGATATCAGATGGCTGAGCCCTTACCCATCCCTGCACCGCCACAGCCCTCTGCACAGTTCCCCTCTGCAACAAGAGTTTGTTCACAGGATTCATACACATTCTCCCCATGGCACAAACCAAACAGCTATCTCGAGAGTGGCAATTCTCAGGAAGAAGAAATCAATAATTTTAAAATTCAGTGGAATCCTTAATTTGTGTGGAGAGATAAAGAGTGGGAAGAAGGAAAGGGAGAAAGAGCAGAAGAGATGGGGACAAGAGGTGTTGGATGTGTTGCTCTTAACACTGATTTTCTGCTCTATATCTACTTGTGGTTTGCTTTTCTGGTTCAGAGACTAAGTAGAAGATCAAAATATCTAAGGTGCTTGTATATCTTCTTATTCACAGGTGGAAAATAGAAGAGCAGCAAATAAGGTATTTGACATACATGCAGGTGACTGCAGGTAGCACAGTCAAAGCTGGTTTTAAGGGATACCAGATTCGATGTAGGCTTCAAGTAAGGTCCTCAACAGGGACTCAGCACAGAAGGATGATTTCAGTGTGCTTTTTACTCTGAGGCAGAACAGAACCAGATTACTCAGTATTTTCCACTAGCCTTCAAAAATAGTGTGCATATGAGGCCTGAAGTGTTAATTTGCAGTAAATTATATGCTCTGTGACATTTCTTTGAATCATAGTTGGGGTCACAGGAACCCGAGATCTATAAGACCAGGACTTAGTGTACAGTGAAAATTAGTTATGAATAATTTAGGACCAGAGTTTATATATCCTGTAGCCAAATTAGCTAAGAAGGCATGTCACGATATGGACTTAATATCTCTGGGGGTAGGAAAGTTGCACCAAAGACAGAGTGTGACAATTTTGTTGGATGTACTTAGCTCTGTGTACTAGAAAGATGTGAGCAGTAATTGAAAGAAAAGATCTCTGTCCTTTTTGGAGTCTGCTCAGCTCAAACCCTGCCTGTGTAACAGGTACTTGTCTGACCTCAGCCTAAACCACAGAAAAATTATATTTGCTCTTTTTTTTTTTTTTTTTTTTTTTTTTTTTTAATTCTGTGTGTTCACCTTTGAGGCGTTACAGTGGAGCGACTGTGTTGGAAGACATTCACCAGGATCGTCCCTTCTGTTCAGACAGTGACCTAACCAGAAAGTCTGAGGTCATTTTAGTGATCTCTTTGAAGCCTCAGTTCACTGATTACCTCAGGTTACTTACAGCCTGACATTTAATACTTTATTTCCAGGAAAGTTAATCCCTGCTTTACCTGACCTTTTGGCCATTAATTTCTTCCACAGGAATTATGGATTGACGATGCTGTTCCTTCATGTGTGCCTGGTTCATTAAGCCATGCAAGGTACTTGCTGCCCGCTACAGAAGAGCCCAAGACAGAGGTCACAGCAGTCCTGCACTGAGCAGGACAAGACATCTCTCTCCACTTAGAGTCTCTTCTTCCACACATATTTAGCACTTGACAGTGGAAGAGATCATGATGATAATGTGTGAAAACACTCATCACTTTTGCAGATTATTTGGAACAAAGTAAGCAAGGAAGAATGAAAAGAGCCTTTCCCTTTTGCTTCACTAGAGAGTCGATCAGGCTCCAAGTTTTCCGTCATCATTGTGGCAAATCTACCATTCAAGAACATCAGATCCACATAAATTGTAATATGTACTGAGCTTTTCCTTAATGCACATAAGGCTTTGCTGGTCAGTCTTGCATGGGGACATATTGGTCATTTAGTAGCTGTGAAGGCACTTCTTACCTGATCTTTGTTTCTGATCTGTAAAATAGAGGTGATGATGTACCTTCTTCCTCTATTGAATGTCTGTTCAGTCTGTTTTGGCTAAATTCTCCAAGAAGGTTAGTGTCCTGTTTTGTAAAAGCAACAGGCAGTCTGAATGCTAAGTCTGGTGAGATCCTGGTGAGTTACTGTCATGAATAATAATAATTATAGAATCATATGGTGTATATTTTTAATCAACACTGCTGACTTGAATTTCTTCAGTATTAGGAAAATAGCAATATTGTTATTTGCTAAAAATTATAGCAAAAGTAGAGAAGAAAAAAATTTTAAAAATAAGAGAAAAGCCATTATAAAAGGCAAAGATACGGGCAAATCTGTTTAGATGAATCTACAGGGCTCAGCTAGCTTAGCCTACTAAGACAAAGAATAAGAGCATATATTTAATTTCTGTAAATATACCAGGGATAAAGAAAATAATTTCTTATACAAAAAAAAAAACAAACCAAACAAATTAGTATAAATGGGCCATGAAAAAGAATCTAACCATCAGAGCAGCAAGGGACAGAAACAGCTTCTTGCTGCCTATAGGAAATGTCTTTTATTAGACTGAGAGGACTATCAGATGCACAAGCTCTTCATCTGGTCTGAAACAAACTGTTCTGAAACTTCAGACCATCTACAGTTGCTCTGAGTTTAAATTCATTAAATTGACGAACTGAATGTCTTCTTTTGGGGTTTTTGTCTGTGTTTTTTTGTTGACATTGATGTGTTTGGGATAGGTTTGTTAAGATGATTTCTCATTATTTCTGGAGATGGATAGCTGTACAGTGTGCGCAGGGTTGTGTGCAGTGGTCAGAAGGCTGCCATGGAAAGTCCTCTCTGCATCATATTACTGCTTTTGCAAGGTGATGATGTGATGGAGCATCTGTGAGAAAGGGACACTAAACCTAAGAAATCCAGAGGGCATTTTTTTGCTAAAGCTGAGTTTTACAAAATGTGGTTGTAACCAGAACTTGGCTTGATTCACCACTGGAAGGTGCCTGAAGTTCCTTCCACAAAACATGTGGCATATACAGGACTTTGCTTAAAGTCAATTAAGATATTTTGTGATTCTGTAACTCCTGCCATCTCATTTTCTCTCTAAAAATACCTACTTCCCAAGTCCAAAGATACCTGAGCACTTGCAGCAGCAACAGATCATCCCTCTTGTGCACAGTAATATTTCCAGGAAAACAGATGCTTCCTTGAACAATTTAGCTCCACACAGGCAGAAATTAAAGCCTTTGGACAGGTGAGGAAATGTACCCAGACAGTTACAAACATTGTTCAGAAAGTGATTGCTGCTGGTTTAGTGGTAGATGAAGGACCACTGAGGCAGAGCAGACACCCATGCACTTTGAAGACCCTGCCTGTTGGTACGTAGTGGAAATGGCAGTGTCACCAAAGAGCAAAGCCTCTCCTCCCTACACAGAGCCCTCACTGGGACAGCAGCAAATGAATTAAAACACACACACACATGTTCACATAAAAATTTAACTGTTGCCATCTAATGGGTGGCATCCGACGATCTAGGTAGAGTATGGACTCAAGTCCCACCTCTACTGGACTCCTTGTCTGGGAATCGGGTCCAAATTGCAGACACTGAAATGTTGCTGTTGAGATGTCCCAGCTGTCATTAAAGCCAATGGTCAGTACAACTAGTGGGGTCTATGGTGGGATTCAAGTCATCATGAGGCAGCACACGCCTTTGGCCAGCTGAATTGCTTTCCAGACACTGCTGCCACATAGAAACCAGCACTCGGATACCCACACACAGTCTGGACCTGAATCACACCCCCCATCTCATGACTTTGGATGGGTGTCATGCTAACACTCAGTAACATGTCCTCTGCAGGCTCTTGTTTGCAAAGCATGTGTGATCCTCGGGGTGGAGTCTTCCTCTCCCCACATATCACCTGCCCATCAGCAACGCTGGGGCCCATCATCTAAACTGGAACCTGGACATGCTTCTATGTGATGATCCAGGAGAGCAGGGAGGTACCAGGACTGTGTGAGGCTTTGGGCAAAGCTGCTGGGTGGCTCTTTGTCTCCTGGAACCTCTTTGTTTTCCAGGTGTTACCTGTTACCACACAAGGTGATTCAGAGGTGAAAAGGGTCCCAGAAATCCTCATCCATACATACACAGAATCCATCCAAATGTCCAAGTCCCAAGAATGGCTCATACTTTCCTCCCGAGAAAGGGCACTGAGAGCTTCCCCCTCATCCTTGAAAGGAAAAGCATGGGGCTTTTTTAGTGATGTGCCAGAGAGCAAAGTTTTATCCATCTAGTCCTCCCCAGGAAGGTTGTTACTTGTAGCAGTGATGTTGAAAGCCTTTTTGAGTGAAATTCATCTCCACATTTTGCCAGGAAATTTGGGTTTAAACAGCAAAGGATGAGGAGTTGAAAGCTGAAAGACCGTCTTTGTCCTCTTTGGCAACAGAATTTACTTTGTGAGGAGGAAAGAGGCTATTGAATAAAATCAGATGAAAAAAGAAATAATATATCCTGCTGCTTCAACTCCATGGATTAATGGGAAGATCTGGAATGTCAAAAATTCGTATCCAAAGGTTTAACCACATCACCACCACACACAGTCTATATTGTGCTGTTTGCTGCATTTGCATCACCCAAACCTATTGTCTAGAAAAATGTTTTCCTTAAAGTTCAGGAAGTATTCAACTAAACAGTATTCTTTCCACCATCAGTGTTTTCCAGCTGTAGTGTCAAACAGGGAGCTATAGCAGGAACATACAGTTCATGAAAACATTCTGGAAAGGAGAAACAGCCCCTGGAGGAAGGGATGAAGCAAAATGAGAGAAGGAAAAACCTTTCCACAACCCAAGGCAACCCATTTCCAAGAGGGAAATTTCTCATCTGGGAAGAAGAATAACAAGAGGCTTGTCCAGACAGCAAGACTTTCTTAAGGAACAGGATTGTATCTATCTGAACTATTTCCATATTAAAAAAAAGAAAAAAATTCTCAACTTCAGACAAGGAACATCAGAGCCATCTCACAAGAAAAAAATATTTGGTAGAAGGTGCTTCTAGCTGTATTGCCATGACCTTTGAAGGCATGCTGGGTTTGTGTGGTGGGGTTTTTGGTAGTGGGGAGGAGGCTATGGTGGTGGCCCCCTGTGAGGAGCTTCTCACAGCTCCCCTGGCTCCAAGTCAGACTCACCTCTGGCCAAGACCAAGCCAATTAGTGATGGTGAATGTACCTCTGCAATGAGGATAATTTATTTAAGAAGGGAAACCTGAGAGGAGGTTGGAGGAGGAGTTACGTGAAGGAGACCTGTACCAACACCAAGATCAGTGGAAAGAAGGAGGAAGGGGGGGAGGAGCGCCAGAGCAGAGACTCCCCTGTATCCAGTGGTGAGACGGCAGAGCCGCCCCCCAGCCACCATGGAGGTCACCGTGGAGCAGATGCCCACCTGCAACCTGTGGAGGACCCCACACTGGAGAAGGTGGCTGTGCTTAAAGGAGGCTGGGACTCGGAGAGGAGAAGAAGCCCCCCCGTTGTAGTTCGGCACTGGGAGGACTGCAACATACGTGGATGACCCATGCCAAATCATCATGGGAATGGCTGTGGCCCATGGGAAAAACTCACGCTGCAGAAAGTTCATGGAGGACTGTCTCCCATGAGAGGGGAATCACGTGAAGTAGAGGGAAGAATGCAGAAGAGTGCTTCCCTCACTCTGGAGGAAGAAGTGGTGAACTGACTGCACACCCTCTTCCCCTGACCCTTGCACCACTGGGGGAAGAGGTAGAGATATCAGAAACAAAACCATAGCAGAAGGGAGGGGCAGGGGGAGGTGTTTTTAAGATGTTGTAAGGCTTCTCACTGCCCCATTCTGTTTGTTAAGTGTGTTATCTTAACTGTTTTGAATTAAATGGATGTTCTTTCCCTAACTTACCTGTAACCTAACTGGGCAAGCCGCCCCTCTCTGTCCTTATCTCCATTCCTGAGCATTTTGATTCATTTTCTTCTTCCCAGCGCTGGTGGGAGGGGTGAGTTAATGGCTGTGTGGTGCTCACTTGCCCTCTGGGCTCAAACCATGACAGAAGGTCTGAAAAAGCCTTGAAACACAAATGGCTAGAACAGATTTCCAAGGGTTATATCCTAGCGATCATGATGCTTTTTAATGTTGGTTTCTCCTACAGTCCTCTCGAATTATCTAATTCTTTCTGCATGTTCTGTCGGTAGCTGGGTAGTTTTTATTGTCAAACAAGCTGGATTACTGAGATGAATTTGATTCAAGGTCTCACAGGGAGATCACTGTGTCTCAGTGAAGCGCTCTACAACCAAACAGAAACTAAACAGCCTTCCTAAATTTTAATACAGTTTCAACAGAAAAATGGAGGTAACTTGTATCAGTAAAGTGCCTCTTTCACATCCTGCAGTATCAGGGGCTGTTACACTAAATGCATTTACAGTGTATGTAATCAAAACATCGCACACTTTCACAGAGTTCAACTGACCAAAATTTCAAAGACTAGGAACATAAATCCAGGTTGTAATACCTACTATAAAGACTTGATTTTCAAATCCACTCATCCACCACTTCCTCCCAGTGACTTTAGTAGGAGCAACCCATTTAAAAGTCGGGCTACTCTTCTAAAGCAAGCTCTCAGATTTAAGATCATAGATTTACTTTTGAAAACCATCTAGTCTTGGCTGTATCTTTGTTCAGCTTTAGCTCCATCACTGTTTTTTGTTCAAATAACACAAGATACAGTAGCACTTACATTGGGTCTTCCAGCCCATTTCCCTAAACCAGGAGGGGAGCTAGTGAGGGTAATACAACCCATGGATGGGAGTTCGTCAGAAACAACCAGCATGAAAATGAAGCAAAGCACCAGTTGTGGCTCACACTCTGCCAGGAGCCTAGTGACTCCTTCCAGCTCCGCCTAGCATCACTTGACTTTCAATCAACGGTTCCAAATTTTGTGAAATTACGTCAATGTAGGTGACCAGTGGATCAGAGTCACCAGTGGGTGTCAGAGACCCAGCTGCCTTAAGGACTGCTAAGTTTTCCAGTAGCATGACAACAATTACTAGATACCTTTGGGGCTTTTTTATTTTGATGGTAAGAGATGGTAAGAGTGAAAAGAATGAGTCATAATAAGTAAAGACATAATTTTTTTCAATTTCATTTTACATCTATCCATAAGACCTCAGTCTAGTAAGAGGACAGATCTAAACTAGTATCAGACTTGTTAGCCATTAGATCTACACTCTTAGAGATTTCTGCAGAAACCCAATGACTATTATTTTGATGACAATTGTGAAAGAGTGTTTGCAGACTTGTGGAACAAAATGATATAATTTAGTCATTTTCTGTGAGATAATAATGATGTTCTAATTGAAAAGTGTACTCTGATATAATTATCCTACATCTTTATAAGCCTGCCTCAGAAGCACAGTAAAAGAACAAATAGGAATATTTTTACCGCACCATGTGAGAAAAGGCTCTCAAAGTTTTATTTGTATCATCTGATGCATGTTCAGGAGACAGAAGCCTCATAAAAGCAAAATTATTTCCTTATTTGGTCTGATAACTTCTTGGGGCAGGATCCAAAGGAAATTTTAGCCACATAAATCAGAGACAAACTTTGAGGTGGGACTCACGCATACGCATAGTGCCTCACACCCCTGACATGTTCCGGGATATCTCTCCCAGATTCCACCTGCAGCTCCCAAAGGACATGGGTGTCCTCTGAGTTATCTTCTGCCAGACCACCTGCAGATTATATATTCCTGAGTGTCTAAAATGACACTGTGTGCTTCTGTTTAGGCACCTGGATTGCTTCCTCCATATCAGAGTCAAATTTGTTTTCCTAAGAAGTTTTCCAGCTGAACCCTGGAAGGGCAGGAGGGAAGAAGGAATGACTCCCTATTTCTCCCTGCCCTGGGTTGATACTCTGGGTGGTTGCTCTTCCTCTTACATATTTTTAAGAGTAAGTAGTCTTTTGCAAAGAAACCAGTCTGACATTCCTGTGCAGGGCAGTCTGCCCCCAGGACAGGCTCAGGATTTGGATCCACTTGGCAGAACAGGACATGATCACCTGTGGTTTCCCTGTGGGTTACCTCTAGTTTCTGAACACGGGTTCCTGGGACTGTCCTTCTGTCATACAGTCATCTCTGTGCCTGCCACAGCTGCACATTAGCTCTGGCTCTTCAACTCCACAGAGGACCCCACCTAAAATATCAGTGATATGTTCCAGGCTAACGAGCTTGGCAAAATTAGCTAAGTAGAAGCAACAACACCTTCATTTCAAAGAAGAGACAGTATATTTGAGGTTGTTAATGGGCTGGCAGCCATTGCTGGAACTTACAAGGATGGCTGGAACTGAACTGCCATTGCTCTAATTGCTTCCAACTGCAATCCCTGGGAGCAGAAACTCAACACATCCTATTTACTGACATTTCCTCTGTGAATAACGAGGAACTGCCAACCCAGGAGCCCCACAGAAAGTGCAGGAAGAGTGGAACCCATGTCAGGAACCCCTTTGGTGGTAGAGAAATGGCTGCTGCTTCACCAACTGCTCTAAAACTCAAATAATAACAGGCTCCTGGCACATTTACCCACCTAATTTTTCTGGCCTTCTAGGCATGTGGTGTGGTACCACCCCAGATGAGACAGTCCAGCTGGGAGTGCACAACACTTGTTGTTGGGATCCTTCTCACAGTGAGCAAGGACAAACTGGTGGGCCCAGGATCTCCATGAGAGTGAAGCTGTAGATGGCTGTCTCCCCCCCACCCCCCTCCCAATCTCACAGGGAAGCCCCAGCTGTGGAAGGAAGGTTCAGGAGTCAGGAAGCAGCATGAGGAGGAAACAGAAGAACCAAAAATCTCCTGTCTTCACCCAAAGATCCTCAGCAGGTCTAACCCCCCCGCAGCTTGCCATCCATCATAGCTCATCCCAGTTGCTGTGAAGGAGCTGTCCACCCTCCAGCCTGTTCTGTGATTGCTGAGGTGGGGAGAGGCAGGAGTTTGCCAGATGTCACTAGAAGACTCCTTGGCCATACTCAAAACACTGGGGAAGAGGATAGGGCTCTGCCAGCATGGGTCAGCTTTTGGAGGAGGAAGGAAGCCTGGGATGAGGAAGGTCTATGCCTCCAGCACAGAGAAGGTGTGGTGTCAGTGTCCCATGCTGGTGGGCACAGGGGCTCGAGGGGCAGCATGTTTGCCAGGGTTCATGGAAGGTCTTGCAGCTTGGACCATCTGTCCATCCTGTCACCATGCCCTGGAGAGGTCACACAGGCATGGGATGCTCCTCACATTCTTATTCCTCACACAGAGCAGGTGCATATTGCCATTAGCTGCATTGCATCTACAAAGGCCCCTGGGGCCTTTCCTGACAACAGCAAGGCATAGGCAAACTCATAATATATTAATAATCGAGAGTTTTTTATTTATAAGGCAATCTGCTCACTTCTCTGGACCTGGAGGCACTGTGCAATAAGTCATAATAAATCTAATGAAACAGTATAGGTAAGTAACCAGCTTTAATCCTAGCTGTTATTATTAGGTAGATTAGTGAACAGAAAATTATTTTTTTTGTTTTTCTTCATTGTTCAAGTTTTGCGTGATTCTGGAAGCTGCAAATTTAGGGGGGAATCTGTGAAGGGGCAGGAGACATAACCATGGGTCAGAGAGATGAAACTGCCTTGAGCACTGGAGGGACAAGGGCAGAGGTGTCTGTCCTTCAGATTGGGACCCACTGATTGGGGCCAGGGAGAGCAGCACTGGTTCTGGCACAGCTCCTCACCCATCTCCAAACCAGCAGCACCTGGAATCATTCTGGGAAATGACTTAGAAATCTGGCCTTAGCCCTGCATGGCACAGGTTGACTTTCAGGTGCCACTGCAGTACATGCTGGCTGAGTCCTGGCCAGGGATTTGTTTTTTTGCTCCTGGTAAACATCTTCACTTGTGGTATAACATCATTTCAAGCCAGCTACGACATAGGCTTGGGTGGTGTCATCACTGACACCCATCACTACACTCTCTGTTGTGCCACAGAGCAAGAAACAGGGGCGCCGGGCTGGGTGATCCAATCCATCAGTGATGAGCAACAAACCAGAGCTGCTGTTACCAGCTGATGTCCTGCTCTCTCTACTCCACCTCCAACCAGCAGAAGTTCATCAAGAAGCTTCAGGCTGAGAAAGGCTTTCAGGAGGAAATTCAGAGCTTTCAGGAGACAATGAAGGGATTTCTGGAGGAGATCAAGGGCTTTTGGAAAAAACCTAGAGATTTCAAGATGGCCATCCAAGCTTTCTGGGAAGAGGAAAAGCCCATCTGGGAGGAAGAAGCTGTCTTTTGGAAGAAAGAAAAGGCTATTCAGGTGGAAGCAGAGGCCTTCTGGAGGGTATAATGTGACTTCTGGAAGGACTATAATGCTTTCTGGAAAGAAAGGATGAGGATTTCTGGAAAGACAAGCTCCTCTGGGAGAAAGACAGCATCCTTCTGGATGAGGACAGAGTCCTGTGGACAGAAGAAGAAGCTCTGTGAGCAGATGAAGCAGCTCTCCTGGAAGAGGAGAAAGCTCTCTGGGAAGATGAGGAGGCCCTCCAGGAAGGTGAAAAAACCTCAAGGAGTATGAAATGTTGATCAAGGAGGAGGCCTTTAGTCCTGAGAGAGAGGATATCTCCAGAAAGCCAAAGCTCTGTTAGAATTAAATCTGGACAGGGACAACAAGGGCAAAAAGAAAAGCTTCTATAGGTACATCAGTGAGAAAAGGAAGACTAGGGCCCTCTCTGGAAGGAAACAGACCTGGTTACCTGGGACATGGAGAAGGCTGAGGTACTCAATGACTTTTTTGCCTCAGTCTTCAGTGGCAAGTGCTCCAGCCAAACCACCCAAGTCACAGAAGGCAAAGGCACGGACTGGGAGAATGAAGAGCTGCCCACTGCAGGAGAAGATCAGGTTTGAGACCATCTAAGGAACCTGAAGATGTACAAGTCAATGGGACCTGATGAGATGCATCCAGGGACCCTGAGGGAATCAGTGGATGAAGTGGCTAAGCCACTATCTATCATATTTGAGAAGCTGTGGCACTCCAGTGGAGTTTCCACTGACTGGAAGAGGGGAAACATAACTCCCATTTTTAAAAAGGGAAAAAATGAAGACCTGAGGAACTACAGGCGAGTCAGTCTCACATTTGTGCCTGGCAAGATCATAGAGCAGATCCTCCTGGAAACTATGGGAGGGCATGTGGAAAATAAGGAGGTGAATGGTGACAGCCAACATGGAGATGTAAGGGCTGGAGCACCTTCCTTATGAGGACAGGCTGAGAAAGTTGGGGTTGTTCAGCCTAGAGAAGAGAAGGCTCCAGGGAGACCTTATAGCAGCCTTCCAGTACTTACAGGGGGCTACAGGAAAGATGGAGAGGTACTCTTTATCAGGTAGTGTAGTGACAGGATGAGGGGTAAATGTTTTAAACTGAAAGAGGGTAGATTTTAGCTAGATAAAAGAAGAAAATCTTTACTGTGAGTGGTGAGACACTGGAACAGGATGCCCAGAGCAGCTGTGGCTGCCCCCTCCCTAGCAGTGTTCCAGGCCAGGTTGGACGGGGCTTTGAGCAACCTGGTCTAGCAGAAGGTGTCCCTGCCCATGGCAGGGGGGTTGGAACTGGATGATCTTTAAGGTCCCTTACAACCCAAACCATTCTATGATCCCCCATATCTGAGAGTCGCAGTTAACACTGCTGAGTCTTAATGAGACAACTCACACGGTTCCACCAGGTCTTGGGCTTTGACTTCCCATTTAACTCCCCACTGGTCTTGGGAGTGTGATGGGTGAGCCCCCCACATCTGCTGTCTGGCTGAGCGCAGCTTTGGCATCAGTCTTTCTGACATGGGCAGAGGACAGAGGAAGAAGTGGGAGGGATTAGAAAAGTCAGCAGCATGTGGGAAAAGATGCAATCTGGAGTGAAAGCTGGCAGCAAGTCCCTCAGAAAGGGGGAAATAAATTTAGTAGTGTGAGTATATGCATGTGTGTGTAAGAGCAGAAGAGGGTGCACACAGGGACTGGGATTATTATTCACCTGCTGATCTCCTATTGCCAGCACCAGTACAAGAGCCTCTAACAGAAAATCCTTAATAACTGCAGTGCAACATGTGGTCAATATTTAGCAGTATTTTATGTGATATGAGTACAGAGCCAGTGCCTTCTGCTGAGCTGTGGCACAGGAGTCACAATTTTTCTTTCCTCTTGAGGAACTGAACTTAGACTCTTCATGGTTTTGAAGTCTGAGCTGTAAAGGCTGGTCTAGAGGCAAATCTACATTTGTCAATCTATCAATTGTCTGCACATCCAGGAGCGTGAGGGACAAGAGCAACAGTGAAAAGTACTCATTGAGTCAAACCAGGCATTGAATTTTTCTCTGGGATGGTAGCATTAGTAACTCATTCTCCTTTGATACGGGATTTTAACGCTGAAAAGGCTCAAGGACACAATGTAAGGAGCCTTTACAATTGCTGTTGAAGAATCTGATGACTTCTGCAACTATCAGGCATACTTAGGCTGTCACTCAAGCCTGTCACTCAAGTTCAGTCCTTTGTGATCTGCTGTAGGATAAGGCTGGCTGACCTGTTTAATTTTGCTCAAGACAAATTATGCACTATGTCTTTCCTGAAGAATCCATGAATATTTATTGCTCAATGAATAACCAGCTCATGAAAAAAGCCAGCTGATTCAGCCAGGGTTGGAATGTTTTGCAACCTTTGTTATTATTATTCTACTATTGCCATGTAAGCCAGAGATTAAAATGACCTATTAGACCATTCAGTGCAACTTCCTGCAAATTCAGGACTCTTACGCATTAAAGCTTTATCATTAGATGCTACAGAGAGAAAGAACCTTTCAGAAAATAACAGTATGCAAAAAGCACTTGTCATTTAATATATTTTAATGTCGAAAAGCCAAGAATTTATCTCAGTTATTCAAATCCACACGTCCAATTAACATCCATTTAAACTAAAATTAGGTATGCTTTCTCTTGCAAAGAACTTGGGGCACATGAAATACTCTTAGGAGAGCTCCTAGTCATTTCTTCTTTCACAGGAGAGCAGAACAGTGTTTCTCTGGTGAAGTGCTATCAGTATAATACAACAGTTGTGAAATTTAGGGCATTACACAATGTAGCACAGAGAAACCAGAAGTTTAGCCAGAGAAAACCATGTACCAGTATGGTTTTAGCCTGCTGGTAGCTCCCCTGAAAATAATCCATCTACCCAGTAGCTTCAAAGTGGCCCTTGCTTGGGTGGCACTGCTGGAGAGAGACCACATGCAAAAGGCTTACCAGGGCTGGGTATTTGAAGTGGGAAGTTAGAGGACACCTGCTCCTGTGTTCAGCAGCTCTGGACTGAGGATGATTTGAAGTCACGAAGCCTGTCTCTCCTCACTCTCTGGAGTAGTAAGGTAATGAGGGGAACAATAAAATAACTACTGTAGTGAAAGGCTCGATTACATTTCTCACCTCTGCAACATGCACATGGAGGCTTTTGAGACATGAAATTCAGAGTGAAAAATTACATAAATACACATCTCTTGGAAGAGCAAGTCTGCTGATCTGGCATAGTTTGGCTGTAGGGACCAGGAAAGAATTGGACGTGTCTGAAGAACTGAAGATGTTTGAAGCATGGACTCACCTAAAGTAGAACAGAAGTGCACCTGTGCCTCAAAAGCAGACATACCTGTAATGCTCTGCGCCGACACTTCTCTAAGCTGTTTAATTCCCAGCACTAGTGTTGCACAACCATCACTTTCTCTTTAGGGCTTTACTTATATTAATTTTTTCATTGCGTCCAAGGTGAGTTTCCCTAATTGCAGTTTTGACGACTTCTCTAGTCCAATCCACAGTGGACACGGGGAACAGCCCTTCCATTTGCCTTGTATATCTCTGTCTGAAGCCCAATATTGTCTTCTCTACCTAAGTCTCCCTAGACTAACCCACCCCATCTCCTTCTGGCCTCCTTCACTGACCAAGTGCTTTAGGTATCAGGAAGGCTTCTGTCCTCCCTTCTGGCCATCTCTCCAAAGGACTGAAAAATCAAGTTAATTTGCAGCATTCAAGCACAATCCCTGGAGATGCCAAAGGTCCAGGTCACAGTGCTTGTCCTCCAGAAGAGATTCAGCCAGGAGTGATGCAACTGAGCCTTTCAGACACTGAACATCAGTGCCAAGCTGCACTGGTGCCAGTGGGTCCTTCTGCAGAGCAATGCCACCGCAAGGAGCCCTGTCCTGCACACCAGGGTGTCTCAGCCCTGTGTGAACGGAGAGCAGACCTGGGACTTAGTGGTACAGAGTCAGGCAGAACAGATGCTGATGTAATTTTAGATCATAATCAAACTTCCTATGGTTGCTGTTCAAATAAGGAGGCATTACAGTTAAAAGTGGAACAATTAGTGTAGTTTTAGAGTAAACACAGGGATAAAACCCAAATACAGGGAAGCATAGTGAACCTGAATGAGCATTATGTGTTGGCAGTGCAATTAATTTAAAGTCTATGAGCTGTGTACACTCAGGACAGTTCTGAAGGGTTAGCAAGTCCTGCAGAGAGAGATCTGACAACAGGACGCAGAAATTTGATGGACTGTCTAGGCTGTACGCCTGAAGCTCCGCTGCTTTCTGGTGCAGCGATGCACTTCCTGCTCTCCTTCCCTGCACAAAGATATGGAAATACTATGTAAAATATTACAGAAAATATATGTCAGGACAGAAAGGTCCCACTTTATCAAACTGAAAGGCAGCCCTGGCTTCAGTCACGAGCCAGTGAAGATGCTGATAAATCTGATGTTCATATTTCTAGGTGATACTCAAGAGTCTCTTCTTTCAAAGTTTCTACTCAAGTCATTGACAGCAGGCTATATTCTGCTCAAGGCCACAACAAACATGCAAATTATGGACTGCAGCTTTGTACCTCTAAAAACACAGCACATCCCAAAGCCCAAAGTGTCTTACGGAGGGATGACGACAACTCCTACACAGAATAATAAAGAGATTGAGTCATTAGTGCCAAATCAGCATATATATTTGAATGGGAGAAAGAATAGCTTCTGAGCTAACCTTCATGTTTTTAAAATGCAGCATTGTCATCAGAAAGCATTCCTGACACAGCTGTGGAGCTAACTCGTGGGAGAGGCAGAACATGGAAAATGGGAGAGTCATTTAAGTCATGACTGACACATCTATGTGTCATATACCAAAATGGTAAGAGTGACAGAGGAAAATTATGTTTGTTCAGTATATGTATGTGTATATATGTATATGTGTATACACAGCTATAATTTCCAACTTTTGTGTATCAGTCATTGCTTAGTAGGAATGTAAAAAAAGCTGGGAGACAGGCCTGTGACTCATAGGAAACTGGAGGTATGGAGAGCATCCAGCCACAAATATGAATACTGCTGCTGTTCTGCCAGCAAGTGTGGCTGAATTGTTGAAAAGTCTGCAGAGGGTGCCACAGAAATTGAAGGAGGAGATAGAATACTGTGGCTGAAAATATCAGATGGGGACGAAAATAACCACACTTTCATCCTTCAGAAATTAACATCTAATGTGGGTTAAAGAGAGGAACCATGAAGAAGCTGTATTTTTAAAACAATTCT